GACTAAAGAACCGAATTAAACCGGATATAAATTTTTAAATTTGGAAACTTGCTAAGTTCAACTTCTTGCTTATTCGGATTTAGATTCATTTTGATCTTATTTATAATATGACTCTCAGCCATTGTCTAAAATTTTAGACGATATAGGATGTTGAACATACAATTTTTTTTCATTGCTTGAGTAATACATGTCCGTTTTTCTAAATTCAAATCACGACAAATGCATAATTTTTTTATAGTTGCATTAATTTTATGTATTATATGGTTATTCAAAGCAAACAAAAATATATATTTAACAAAGAAAATAGGAGAATCATAATTTTAAAATATTAACAAAATCTTCTAAATATCTATACTATTAATTGTAGAACATTATATGGATATTTTTTTTAAATTTTACCAAAATCATAAATGTAGAGATATTTTAGGAAAAATGTTAATTAAATCTTAACAAATATTTGAGTTAGATCCGACTAAAGTATTCTGATCAAAATAAAACTGACCCAATAAGTATTATGGTCAAAATATACTTCAAAAATAATAATATAGATATTAACCCGCGGTACATCGCGAGACAATTCTTTTATCTAAAACATTTAAATTTTAAGTTTGTTATAATACATCATATTGGACTTATAACCGGGCCCAATAAGCCCATCAGGGTTATTCATTATGTATTCTAAAACCCTAGGTTTATATGCCTATATATATGTATCGTTATTCATGGAATGGAATAAGATAACAATAAGTTTCACAACAAAGTTGTATATGTTTGTTAATTTTGTTTGTTTTGTTTAGTTTTTAAGATTGTACAATTGTATGTTGATTGTTAATTCTAGAATTTAACCAGCTGTATACCGTGGAACAATTTTTGCTGTACATAATTAATTAAATCAGTTTGATTTGACATGTCTTATATTGATATTGTTAATAATAGTGAAATGAGGATTTAACCCGTATTGAAATATCATATTAATGAGATTTTAACATTTTAGTAATATCGATTCTAATTACCCGTCCCGTCATATAACCCGTCTTGCAATATAACCTGGTCATGGTATTTTAAACTTTTAATATGTTTAAATATTCATACTTTAAAAGTTTTTATTAAGTTTAGATATATCAAATATTTAAAACTTATTAAAAGTTTAAAATTTTATAATACGGTAAAATTAAATATTTCCAATAAAAAATCGAATTAAACCATATACAAAATTTAAATTTTGATGCTTATTAAGTGAAACTTCTTTCTTATTCTGATATGGACTCATTTTGATTTTATTTATAATATGAAATTGAATCATAATATAATTATTTTAGCCGATTTAGAATATTGAACATACATTTTTATATTAATTGAGTAATATATATCTGTTTTATAAAATTCGAATCACAATATATGCAGAATAAAATTTAGATTTTTATTATTTTTATGTATTATATGATGATTCAAAACAATTAAAATTAAAATCAACCAAAGAAGATATGAGATTCGTAATTTTAAATCTTGACAGAAGAAAAAAAATATGTAAATTCACAAAAGAAAATAGCAATAATTAATATGGATAATATTAATATTATATTTGTTTATAAAAATACCTATAAACTAGAATTTAACCCGCGGTATACCACGGAATAATTTATTTTTTATATAATAATAATTTAATCAACTTAATTTAATATGTTTAGTATTTTATTGATGTGATAAGAAAATAAAGAAATGATGATTTACCCGTGTTACAACATCGAGTCAATAATATTTTAAACCTGTCTCGCCATATATCTCCGTCCCGTGATATTTTAAACTTTTTAGAAGTGTAAAGTATTCATAATATTTTAAAATTTTGAAAGTTTGCCAGATCTTCGAACTTTCTCTCTCCAAAAGGCTTCTGGCAAATCTTGAACATCGTATCGTTAGCTCCTTTTAAAAAGGAAGATATATATGGTATAGTTAAACGGTTTGACTAAAAAACCGAGTTAAACCGGAAATAAACTTTTTAATATAGATGTTCGTTAAGTTAAGTTTTATGTTAATTCAGATTTATATCATTTTGGTCTTATTTTTAATTTGATTCTGAATTATTGTCTAAAAATTTTAGCCTAAGTGGGACGTTGAACACAATTTTTCATCATTAATTGAGTAATACATGTCTATTTTTCACAATTCGAATCACGAAAAATATAAAAAATATATTTTTTTATTTATTTTATGTATTATATGATTATTCAAATAAAGTAAAAAATATCAAACAAAGATGATAAGTGAATCATAATTTTAAACTTAAAAAAATCTTCTAAATATCTATAAAAAATATTATATGGATATTTCAGATTTTATAATTAAAATTAAAATCGTTTAACTGTGTTTGATTATATTGATAGTAGAGAAATTGTAGAAGTTTGTTTGGATGTATGTATATAATTTTTTTATATTTCTAAATTACCCTTAATGAGGTTCTTAAATTGTTCTTAAATACAATGACATTCTTTGTAAGTACTTATTAAAACGAAGACTTTTCTTCAAAATGTACTTCAAAAATGTTATATAGATTAATTAGAATAAAGGTGTTTGGAATCCAAAATGACTTTTAAAAAACTATATAGATGATGATTCAAAACAATCAAAAATAAAATCAAACAAAGATGATAAGAAAATCATAATTTTAAATCTTGACAAAGTCTTTTAAATATCTATATTTTAGAAAATCTGAAATAAATGTTAGTTTACAAAAAAAGAATCTAAAACTAATATGGATAATCTGAAATAAATGTTAGATTTATGTAGATTAGAAATTAAATATATATTCACTCTTGAAGAAAATATGTTTAGTTATTTATATTGTTGTATAATATGTGTTTTAAAACTAATTGTTGATGCAACATATTTACATCAACATCCGCTGTCATTCCTGGTACGACTATGCCACGGCCTTTTATCGAAGGACTGGATTGTCCGGATTTCTCACGTGTATAGGGAAGCTAACCGTCTTGCAGATGGATTAGCTAACTATGCGTTTTCGCTTTCTTTAGGTTTTCATTCATTTGATTCTGTTCCGATTACTTTGGATTCAATATTCAGAGAGGATAGCCTTGGGTCAACACGACCAAGGCTAATCCGTGTGTAATGACGTTTATTTACTTTTCTTGATAAAATACGGGAAACATTTGTTTCCCGGTGAATGAATAAAAAAAAAACATATTTACATCAACTAATAGTATACTATAGTTTTTAATTTCTGTATTTATATTTGTTATAGATAGGATTGGCAAAACTTATTTTACCTGGATCCGAGTTTTTTTTATTTCATCCATGGACATGCGTGTAATTCATTAATTAGAAGATGTATGTTAATGACTAATTTAACCTTAAGCAATCAACTTATATTTTTTGATTATTTTTTTTCTAATGGCATTAAGATGTGATTGTTTACACTTAATGAAGTTTGCTTTTTCTTGAACTTCCGTTTTAATAATAAAGAGATATATTTTTATTTTAAAAAAATATATTGATCATTCACAATTTTGACCCGTTATAATTTTTTATTTTCAGATTGAAAAATTTACATTTATATTCGTTTTAAAAAATTCAAATCATGCCATATGCGGAAAAAAAAATCTATATTTTTTATTATATACATGATATGATAATTTATTTGTTTCACAAATATTAAATCATATAAATATGAGAGGTGAAGTCTAATGATTAATAACAAATTAATATGGTAAGTTAGATATCAAATCTTAAATGTTCTTTTTGATTGGTTATTCAAAATTTTAAAAATTAATAATGTATTTTCGTTTTTTATAAATTAATTAAATTGTATAAATTAGTATTTGACATTTTTATCTTTAATGACTATCATTAATTTGTTCTTTGAAACCTATATTTCTAATGACATTTCATTGATAATGTTTACAATTTTCAAAGTTGTTTTCATAATGTAGTTCCATCTTCAAGATTACAAAATTATCTTTTAAAAAGTTCAACCCTGTGTTTTAGCACGGGTTCTAATCTTGTAGGGGATGTGTAACTCCTAAACACTATTGCACCAAGTATATATGATGGCCAAACCTGGACTCACAGTTCCTGCAAAAATCAGAGAAAACACAAGCTATTATGCTTATTTCAAGGTATGGTTACTAAGAAATCTATTCAAGGTACACTTCAAAACAATTTAAATATTCATGATTTTTACTGGATTGCGTTGGAGTAATTGACGGTACACACATTCATGCAATGGTGCCTGCTTCTAATGCACCAAGCTATCGTAATCGGAAAGGATATACATCACAAAATGTTATTGCTGCTTGTAACTTTGATCTAGAATTTATATATGTCCTTAGTGGATGGGAAGGTACAGCTCACGATTCAAAAGTATCAAGTGATGCTCTAATGAGAAGTGCGAGCAAGCTACTTGTTCCCGAAGGTATATACATATGCTGATAACATCATATATTGGCCCATTTTAAGCATGTTTTTGATAGGTATTTCACGAAGAATTCAGGTGTTTTGAGAATCTTCAAGGTCATTTCCAAGTATTTAAGCTTCCAGAAGCTTTTGAGAGTTTTCAGGCAAAAAGGAGTAAAAGACGAGCAAAACCCCGTTTCTGGACAGTTTCGTACCATCAGAAGTTTGGCCATCGTTGAAGACCTTCCCGTACATGAAATTGAGTGTTCTTGGTCTCTATGGAAAGCTGAAGGAGTCAAGAATCATGTCGAAGTGGAATTAGGTCGATACAATGAGCCAATTGTTTTTCACGCCCAATCTACTGAAGCCTGTCGCAGACCGGCCAGAAGAGACGAGACCGATCGTGGAGCTGCTCCCAGACCGGCCAGAGAGGCCGTGATCGGTCCCAGACGGCCAGACCTTCACCACCACCGGTCACAGCTCACGTGACCGGTCCAGACAAATTCGACCCTCATTAATCAAAACGGCGTAGTTTTGATCCCGGAAGCCCTAATCCAATTTCCCGAGCCCTAAGCCTATAAATACAGGCTCTTGCCTAGGGTTAGGGTATGCTTCAGAGTGCCTCACACGTCCTTCTTCAGAACCCTAGAGCCGCCTCTCTTCTCCTCCAGATCCGACGCCGCCTCTCTTCTCCTGAAGCCATCCTTTGAAGATCTCATCTGTTCTTCATTGTTTCTTTCATCTATTCTACTCTTTCTTGCTTTTGGATACAAGATCTCTTCTGTGACATTTAGAGAAGTTTTCTTTGAACCCTTTTTGATTATTGAATCGTTTATTATGTTGTTTCAATTCAATATGATTTCGTTTCTTTGCATCATGAGCGAGTAGTTCTTTTTGTTGGGTTTGATGGGGTGATTCAAAGGGGATTCATGGTTCAAAACTAGTTAGGTTGTTAGATCTGATTTTTTACTTTATATTTATGATTCCTCTTGGACTTCTTATTCTTAATGCATGATACTTGATTGATCACGAGTATCTGATCTCAGGGAGAGGGAAGCGCTAACCGCGTGACTTGATCTCAGATCTAGGGTTGCGAGAGCTTCGCGCCATAACCTGCGAAAGTTGAGTTATGGAGTGTCGTGGACCTATCAAACTTGTTAAAACTGCTGATCTCTATGCGTCATTGCCTGCGAAAGTTGAGTAACGGAGTATAGAGGTTTAGACATTTGGTTTCTCGAAAGAGGATCAAGTGTACTACCAGTGCTTTGAGTCGGGAATCTAGTAGACAACATTTATTAATTAATCTTCTAATTTGATTTGTAGAGAACCATGAAAACCCTGAGATAATCCCTAATGCCCAGCGCCTTTCTCTTATTGATTTACAACTTCATTTTATTTGCTTATTTCGTTTTCAACGTGACAACAAACCAAAACCCCTTAATCGTTTTTCTTAGTTGGATTTCTTTTCAGGATTCATTCGCGTAGTTATTCACTCTCTGTGGGATCGATCCTTAAATACACAACCGATTCACTGTGCACTTGTAGTATCGTGTGTCATCTAAGGTAAAACCTTGAGCTGAAATTTACAGCACATCATATGCATTACATATTATATTTTTTTTATTTTTTTTTAATTTTTTATTTTATTCTTTTTGTTAATATAACTATTAATAATGTTATCATATATGAATTTCAAGAAAACTTTATTTAGTTGATTATGGATTTGCAAATCGGCGTAATTTTTTAACTCCATTCAGAGGTACCAAGTTCTACAAGATTTTAGAGGTCAAGGTCGTGATCCTAGTAATCAAAATGAGTTGTTCAACTTGCATCATGCATCTTTGAGAAATGTGATCAAGATAATTTTTGGTATCTTCAAATCTTGTTTTCAGATTTTTAAATCAGCACCGCCTTTTCCTTTTAATGTTCAAGCAGAACTTGTATTAGCTTGTGTTGGATTACATAACTTTCTTCGTAAAGAATGTCGGTCCGATGAGTTTCTCCTGAAAAAACAGTGCAAACAACGAAGCATACAATGAGAATAACGAGAATAACAATTTTGAGGAAAATCGAGATACGGAGACTCTCCAATCGCAACAAAGAGAATATGCTAATAATTGGAGACACAATAGCTGCTAATATGTGGGCAGAAGCTACAGGAGCAGGGAGTATGCAATGAAGATCCTGAAATTTTTATTTTCAATATTTTGTGGAATCTTACTTTTCATCTGTTGGATTAATCTTTTGTTCTAAACATTGTTATTAAATTATTTCTTAGCATGTTACTAGTTTTAATTGATGCATCAGTTCCAGTAATTTTCTTCCAGCAATATTTTTCAATAGATGCAGATGATGTTGCAAGTTTTTCACAATTTCTGTTTCTTGGCCAAAAAGCAACGCGAATAACTTTCGGATCTTAACTCCGATTGACAAACCGTTAGTTGCCGTGGACTCTTGGGTTGGTGGTGGTCATGACGGTGCCTTTATTTTTTTTAGCCTCCATCTCCTCCAGCGCCGGTGAGCCTCCAAAAAAGACTACTGGAACTGCACTTCTTTTCCTTCTTTTTTTTTTTGTTTTTCTCTACTTCTCCTTCCTCTTCTATGATCTGGTCTATCTATGCTCCTTCATCACCATAGACCACAACCATAAGATGTGTGAACAGATCCACCGGTGATAACCACCACTTCCGCTACGTCTCAACCTCTACGTGAATAAAAGTTGCCACATAAATTAGCTCTACCTTGGTTAAGTTGATATTTTGACAAATCTCTATTTCAATGATATTTTCCATGATTTCATTTTATGAAGAAAAATGTTACAAATTTTAAACCAATAACATAATAATTTAATTCTTGAAAAATCCGAGATACTTTTGTTTTAATTGATTAATAAAAAAATTTTATTGACTTTATAAAAGTATGAATCCAATAACACCAAATTTATAAAGATTTTAGATTATTTTTGATAAATTATAAACCAATAACACCAAACTTCAAAAGACTTTTAAACAATCTTAATTGAATAACAAAAGATTCTTCATAACATTTTAAGTCATTAAAACTCCATGTAAATCATAAACTAATAACACCCCCAAAAATTATAGTTAGTAACTCCTACGACTTCTTCATCATTTTTTTCCTCGGAGGATTTTTCTTTTTGCCTAATCTTATTATATAAAGTTTGGTTTTAAAGTTAGTAACTCATGTGATCGTGACACGTGTCAAATATATTGATAAGATTTTGACACGTGTCAAAAAAGAAAACAATCTACTATAGTATTTTTGAAGTACTCATATGAACATATCCAAAAAATTTGAAGTATTTACAGCAAATGCCACTAGCCAAAGACACATAATAAACATTCATTAAGGGCAATTATGTACGACAATGTAGCCTAACAACATCTTTAAATTTAATCCTATTCCAACCATGGTTAAGAAAACCCGCTTTCCAAACATGATTGACTGTATCTTTTAGATTTCCTAATTCTAATATAACATATTTAAGCTAATTTCCTAAAATTTGTTTACCTAATTTAAACATAAACATATATGATTATACTTTCACTTTTATTTGATCTTATATTTAAATTATTATAAAATACATATAGTTAATAAAATTATAGATTTTTTTCTGCGTATGATGTGATTCAAAATTTTAAAAACGGACATATATTACTCAATCGAAAAAAATAGGTGTACAATGTCCCACATCGCCTAAATTGTTTTGCAATGGTTAAGAGTCATACTATAAAAAGGACAAACATGACTCCGAATAAGAATGAGCAGGGTGGTTGATTTATCAGACGTCTAAATTTACAAGTTTTATTCGGTTTATTCCGATTCTTTGCTTTAATTTAAAAAATTTAAACTTTTCAAAAGGTTTAAAATATTATAAATATTTAAACTTATAAAAATTTAAATATTATAAATATTTAATTATTTATATTTATATGAAGTTTAAATATTATAAATATTTTATAAGAAGTTTAAACATTATAAATATCTAAACTTTATAAAACTTTTAAAGTATATAAAAATTTTAAAAAACTAAAATATCACAGGACGGACTTATGTGACGGGACGAGTTTGGGTCGATATAAATATGGGAAGGTATACTGCGGGTGAAATCCTAGAATTAACAATCAAAATACAATTATAAAATTTTAAACACTAAACAAAACAAACTTACAAACAATTTTACAATCTTAAAACTAAATTTTATATTTACAAAAACTCTACATTAAAAGTTTTTAAAAATTAAACATATATCCGTGCTGTAGCACGGGTTAAGTCCCAGTTATAAAATTATAAAGTTTGGTTTCAAAGTTAGTAACTCATGTGATCGTGACACGTGTCAAATATATTGATAAGAATTTGACACGTGTCAAAATAAAAAGAAAACACTTATAAAATTAAATAAGTTTCAAAAATGTTAAAGATAATATAATAAGGAAATTATACAATATCATTATTATAAGAAAATTATACAATGTCTTACTAACAATAATGTATCTTAAAAAATATACTTCTATAATTAAAGAAATTCTACAATTAATTATTAATACAGTAAAATAATTATAAGGAAATCATACAAATATTTCTAATGATAACGTAATCGATAACAAAACAAAATCTTAGAAATTACTAATTCTAAAAGAAAAAGGATTTTTTTTCTTTAAAACTATGAACTTCAATAGTTGGAAATTATATAATTAATAATTAATCCTAGAGGAAATAAAAATTGTAAATATTCACCTCTATATAAGTTGTTTCATATTTTTTTCATCAAACAAAACACCACCACTGCTTCAACTTCGTTCTATTGGTAAATCTTCTCTTTATTTTTTTATTTTAAAAATATATTTTTTATGAGATCGTCTCAAATTATAGAGTAAAGATACACTATAACTCTATAGTTTTTTTTTTCCTATGGGGTATGTCATGACTCATGATGACGAGAACGTTCTTTTATTTATGTTTTATCTTTATTTAATTCTCAAAGTCTGTAAATATTTGACCACGTCTGTTTCTATAAACAAGTAAGTAAGACCACAACCATATGTTTGCAAACGAAAATGTTGAAGATTTATTATTCTTGATCAAGACCATGCATATATCAAATTCTTTTAGATTTTTATGATTAATAAGTTTTCTTCTAATTTCAATTGTTTTTACTTCCAATTTACAGAAAATAGTTATCATCAAAAATAAAATGAGCAAAAAATTTTCAAAATTCGCATGGTAAAATAATAGGTTTAAGTGAAATAAGAATAAGATAATCAACCGATCAATTTTTTTTTTTAAAAAAACAATTATTAAATTTCATTCAAAATAGGAATAAGAATAAAAAAACAGAAATATTTGAACATATGTGAGTAAATTACTAAATTTCATTGGAAAAAATTAGTAAAAAATTTAGGATTATTAAAATAATAATTTTCTGATTTATTTTCACATCTCATCTCCTTTTGTTTTCCACATTTTTTTGGCTTTTGATTTTTTCACACGGGTTATAAAAAGTTTTAATTACAAATCCCGCGTATACGCGGGACCTAATCTAGTAATATATAAAAAACAAATTAGTATATTTATTTATGTGTAATAAAAGTTCTATTGTTGTGATTTTCTTCGGTCATTATTAGATATATTAAATCTATATTAAATATTTAAATCGTCCACAATCGTAGATTATAGAGCATAATGTGAAGTCTCACATGTCACATCAATTGTTTAAAAGTTGATCTTACTATATAGGACGTGCACCATAGTATTGATGCACCATAAAAGTGTAGGCTCTCACAGGATGAATTTGGTAGTTGAGAATCAAAACCCTGAGGTACATAAATTTTGCAAGTCCAGTAGTTCATAACTGTGAGGATGTTATGTGGATCTTTAACGGTATGAGGTGTTCCGTCTGTTCAAGACATCAAAACTGCAACATTATTTTAACCTTCTTAGGGTCTTGGGGCACCAATAAACTCAGCTTGAAGCAATTCTGCATTAGAAGCTGTTATTGGAGATAAGATGAAGTAGTTAATTAAGAGTCGTCAATAGAATATAAAGATGGAAGTTTTAAGTACAAATACGTGTCTGAATTTTAGTTGGAGTTTGTCGTGATGGGATTTTGTGTAGTGAATAGATTTGATTCCCTTTTCTTTTACCTTGCGGAACATTAGAAGCTAAATAGCATTAAGTTACATTATGCATTTTTATTAATACCAATGGGGTTTTCTTTTGTTTGTTTTAACGTGGATTTTTGTCATAAATCCTAATCATCCAAGAAAGATTATTATTGATCGTTCAATTATTTTTGTAACAATGAGATGATATTGTGAATAGTGTGGTTGAGTTGAGGAGCCACTACGGGAGGAAGTCAAACATACCAAGGTGAAGATAAAGCGTCTAAAAATATGTAATGCAAAGCCAGTTCCGTAGCATTTTTTTTTAGTATTATCATATAATTCGTTAGATTCTAAGATAGTTAAGCTTTTAAGCATGATTAGAGGAGTTGGTATGAATAACAATGTTTTTAAAATGGTATTTAATACAAATCCCTGCGAATTCGTTTGTAACTTTGTATCTTAATTAATTACGTATGAACGATATATATTATTCTCAAAATAACATATGTATTTAGATTTACAACCTTTGTGAACCCGATGAAAATCAATTTATTCTATGTCTTTAGATTGATATTCTGCACAGGTAAAACCGAACAAACCCACCAACAACGGGTAAATCGTTATCCGGTCGGATTATTTTAGGATTTTATACCGGTATGCAAGAGAATTGTGCTAATGATTTGGTTTAGGTGCTTTTATGTCTTCAAAGCTTGCCATAGCTTCCTTGAAAAAACTCACATCAAACACACATAAGGTACGTATTTCCTCTTTAGGAAACTCTTGCTTAGCATACATTTTTTGATCTACAAAAAAAAAAAAAGCTAATGCGAAAAGTTTTGACTTGAAATAAAGTAAATTAAATGTTTGAGTCACTGCGATGAAAATGAAAAGCGATGAGAGCAGAAAGAAGATCTGTTGTTCATGTTGTTAGATATACACACATTCTCTCGCTTGTTCTCGTTGAAATTGAGTTAGACAAATTTTCTCACTTAACTTAGAAGAGTCTGTTAGAGGTAAGGAGAGAGTTGGAAATCATGAAGATTATAAAACATAGAGAAATAATTTTAAATTCATGATTGAGTGACAATCATGTTTCTTTAACTTTTTTTTTTTTTTTTTTTTTTTGGTGTAAACAATTTGTGAGCTAACAAATAATCATCATGCAAAACACCAATTCCACA